GGTCGTGCCGCATGTCGTTGAACTCAGCTCGTCGAGATCTTTCTATTGACACCGTCGGTGTCAAAAACAGAGGTTGGAATCTGAACTTGGGTATTTGGCCATTGATGGTTTGTGTGAGAGAGAACGTGAGAGGAGAGAGAGAATGAGCGAGAATAAGAGAAAAAAAGTGCAAGAACCCTAAAAATTTCACTATATAAAGTATCTGATTAAGGCAAGATTACGTGCCTGATCTTATCCTCAATTATTTCCTCTAAACAGATTAAATTTATACTGATTAGAGGTAATTAGTTTAGCTCACGTAAGTTAATCTACTACTTACAGTCCAATATTAATTTCTGAATAATTCAATATTGTTTTATATTCTTACTCGCGTAATTTTTCAAACTGTTTCAAGTCTTAAAATTAATTTTAGACTGAACAAATTCTAAATTTTAATTTTCTGTATTCTATCCCGAGAATGACGTTTCTGACAGTGTCAACTCCCGAGCTCATATTGTATCCATCTACTATAGGTATTTATCTTGTGACTTTAACCTAACTGTTTGGCAATTAAGGATTTTTTTCTTCTTTTAAAATGTCAGTGCGTTTTTTTTATATGCCGCTAACATCGTGCTGTGCTTAGAGATTCTTGAAATTAAGATTCTCAAACTATACTTGTACTGAAAATTATTCTGCCTTAAAATACGGTGAGAATTTATCGATCGAATTTACTTGATCGAAACATGAACTTAACATGAAATTTGCTATAGAATTTAGGAATACATATATTAATTCCATAAATCCTCCATTCACAATATAACATAATATTTTCTAAGAAAATCCTTGGCTTAAAAATACATGAATTGTATTATTTAAGGTCTGAAATTTTCTCAGTCATTACAGAGTTGGAGGTCGTACACACGTCGTTGCGCTCAGCTCGTCGAGAGCTTCGCGATGGTGAGGAAGGTGTCGAAAAATGATGCCTTAATCTCTATCGGAGATGGTGGCCGGCGGGGAGAGAGAGGGAAAGAGAGAGATGTGGGAGAGTTGAGAGAGAGAATGAACGAGAAGAAGAGAGAGTGTGCGAGATAATACGTGTTTGATCTTATCCACAAAGATTCTCTAAACAGATAAAATTTGTACAGATTAAAGATAATTAACTTAATTAAAGTAAATTAATATATTATTTATAATCTGATGTTATCTCTAAGTAATTTAATATCAATTTTAAATCTAAATGTGTAATGCAATCAAACTGTTCAAATTTTAAAATTATTTCTTAAATTAATTACCATCTTCACTTAACTTTTTTACATTTTACCTTAAAAATGACATAATTACTAATATGTCAATTTCTGAGCTCGGATAGCATTTTTTTTTTTTATCAAATTAAGAATTTCTTAAGTGTTTATACTGGACTTAAAAATTCTTATAATTGAAATTCTCAAGTCATTTTTATATTAAAATTCTTTCCATCTTAAATCGCGATAAGAATTATCAACTAAACTATTTGATCAGAAAAAGTGAATTTAACTTAAAACTTGTTATAGAATTTTAGAAGATTAATATTAATTCCATAAATTTATTATTCACGAAATAAAACGTAATATTTTTTAAAAAAATCTTTAATTTAAATATGTAAATTACATTATTTAATTTTAAGATTTTCTCGCTAATTACAATATCACTCCCTGATTTGATGGTTGCATCAGCTGTAACTGCTGTTACAACTGGGAGAATGCGTGCCGAGACGAGAGAAGAGCTTGCTTCTGTTGTGGCGGCATCTGGGCTAACTGAGAAGGTGATTGCTGAAGTTGTTGTTGTCGTTATTGCTGGACGGGAGCAGCAGGAAGAAGTTGTGAGTTGATGTTTGGACGGGACTGAAGTTCTGTAGCAGAGGCCACGCTATGCTGGACCCGAGGCTGAGAAATGGACAATTGTTCGCTCGAACCAAGTAACCGCTGTTTGAACGGAGGAATAAGGAAGCTGTGGCTGACTGAGCCTCTATAGAGATGAAAGCATTAATTTGATGGATCCATAATAAGGGCATTACTTTCATTTTAAAGTCATGGTAGAACCACCAAATTGTTAGTTAGGCAAGGATTGGAATTTGATCTTATATAATACCATAAGAAACCATATGCAGAGGATATATTGATGGGATAAAGAGAACATTGATTCAGGTTATAACCAGCAACGAACTGAGACATGTGATCAGCAATATAAAAAAATATATAAAAAAATAAAAAAAAAATACATATAAAGTTTACCAGGAACAGCATAGCCAATAAAATAAAACCCTTTGCCAAAAACCCTCGAACCACCCAACCAACCAACCAAACATGCTCTTGTCCATCGGCCAAGCCGCACCCAATAGAGCCCAATTTCCAATTACCAAACAGAGAAAAAGGCAATACCACACAACCACTAGTAGACAATTTCCTAATTTTTTATTATTATTAATTATAAATTTATAAATTATAGAAAAGCAGAAAAAAAACTCTTACACCTAGCAGGAAGGAACCTTTTTAATCCGAAATCTTCAATGCAAGCAGTCATTCATGTCACTGTCTAGACAGAATGTTACACGGCTTTAAAATTTCAGTGGAATGCCCTCTGCATAAGAATCAAATTCCTATTTTCTTGTCCAATTTGGTTCACATCTCGATGATCACATCTCCCCTAGAGTTTATGAAAACTGGCTAAAAGGGCTCAAACGAAAACATACACAAAGGACACAGAAATCCTCATCTTAAGAGTATTTCTTGAAAATGCTGCAATTTCCACAAATGAGATTTCAATTTCCTCTGTTTGCTTGGAACCATTCTGTGATATCAAATGCAGAGATAACACTAATCAGAATAAAGTTTATATAAATATGGAAACTATATTATATTGGGCATATAAAGCATCAAAAGCAGGACACAATTCTCTTGTGTATTTTGGCCATCCCATATATACAACTATAACCCCGAGGGAAGGAAACATTCCCAATATCTTTTACCCAATCAACAAACTAAGGAGACAATTAATCTTCATTGCATATAGATTTTCTTATAAATTAGAATTTTATACATTGTTCCTTTGACTAATCTCTGAGTATGTTAAATTTTGTAACAGAACAAAGCAAGTTACCTATGCCAGCTAAAAGAATTCAAGAACTTTGTGTTCGACGGGTAAAAATGAAGATTTAAGAAATGAGAATAAAAATTCAAGAAAAACAAAGTAGACTCTACAAGTGTAATGCATAGAAAAGAGCAAGTTATACACATATAACTATCAACATCATTAATATCGTATCAGTAAAAATTTAATTCCTTAATTATCCTCATTTTTAAGTAATTTACAAACATAATTGTATAGTTTTTGTTGTTAAGGTGAAGTAGTCAAGCGAGGAAAAGTCCTGTTATATATCATTTAGAAATGAGAAAATATCTGTAGTAGGGTTGCTACAAAGTTAGAGAAACTTATAATTGTGAATTTACCTAAAATTTGGGAGAGGAAGCTTAAGCAGTGGCAAAAATCAAAACATTTAGCTCTCGACTCGTTTGTATCAAACTTGATGACTTGAGTTGCACCTGGTTCAGGCTTGTCAATTATTATAGCATCTGACTTGTCCTCCTCAACCTCACCAATTTGATTATCACCATCGGAACCAATAGAAAATTCCTCATGAGTGCTCAGTTCGAGAACATCATCCTTAAAATCATCAGTTTGATCACCGTCAGAACCATTTGATGATTCTTCGTATGAGTCCTCATCCTCGATATCATCAGTTTGTTCACCATGGGAACCATTTGATGATTTCTCATATGAGTCGTCATCCTCAACATCATCAGTTTGAACAGTAGAGTCCCGGGATGGGCCTGCGAAGTTCCTTTCTTCATGAAACGGTACTTCCATGCCAAAAAAATCATTGAACCTGGGGACAATTTCCAAGGAAGACGGATTGTTGACGTTTTCATGTGCATCTGCATCAAAGTTGATTGTTTTAGGCTCGGCTTGGGATTGTATGCTTTTTGAAAAAGTTCTACTTTGGCTTTTAGCAAAAACAGATGTAGAAGTATAAGTCGAAAGATAAAAAGATCTAACTTAATAAAATAATTGCAAAATGTACTGCAAAAGGATTTTTGGGGACTCTAAAAGCAATACCAGCTTCAGGCAGACTTGATTCTAAATCAGTCGACAAAGGTAATACAATTTTAGTGTCCCGGGATGGGCTTCTGATCCTGTCATCTGACTTCCACGGAGCCGATGTAAGTGATCCAATATCATATGAGGATGCTTCCACGCTGAAAAGATCATACAAAGTCTGTAGATCTTCCGAAAAAGCCTCCATGACGTTCAACTGAAAATCCTGTTCCAGTTCCTCAATATTTCCAGAACCTTGGAGAGATTGCACATGTTCGAGGCTGTTGCTACCAATTTCTTTTGCTTCTAACATATGTTTCTTGCACTGGATGCTCATATTATTGAATACCTTGGTCATGGCCAGTACATTTTCAGCATATAACATGTGGATTCCACACCTTTTCACTTTGTATTTAAAAGAACATTCACGTTCTCTTGTGGAATAAGAAATTCCAGTACGTTCAATACAGCCGAAGTCAAATGAGATCTCTACTGCATCAAAATCTTCATTATACATCTTAAGGAAGTTTTTATGGTAATCATACCACATGAACACGTGATCCGATCTAAGAAATTCTTTCCCGTCCTCATGACCGAAGAATTCTCCCTCCAAAATCATACTGAAAGAACCCGACCGATGGCTTTGGCCCTGTTTTGTTTTCAGATGTACCTCAAAAAAAATATCCAAGTCACGTCTCTGATTCCAATAGAGCTCCTCAAATGAGAGAACAATGCATGCAACAAAACCAGAGAAGTTGGCTCTATCCCAATTTGATGGAAGCTTGATAGTTAATGTTGAAGACCCCTCGGATTGGCACGTCATCCACTTTGGAATTCTATTTCCCGGATAGCAAACTTTGATGTGAGAAACTCTGAATTCGCTCTGTATAGCATGGACTGGATTAATGAACTGTAAAAATTGCAAAAAATTTACTTTTACAAATATAAACTAAGAAAGAAATAATCACATACCGCATATTGATCTGCTAGTCGGACAATCATTGCGTTACAAATAACTCTACGCAAGAAATCCATTGCCATGATGTCACATGCACTTTGGTCCAATTTCAAGCACCCACAAAACATAAATCTTATGTTTTCATTGACCCAAAACCCTTGAGTGAGTGTAGGCCTTGAAGTTAAGAACATCTCCATTGACAAGCATCCATCTGCATGAAGTTCTCTTATAGATGATGGAAGTTCCGGCAAAGATAGAAGGTTCCGGCAATAACTTATATCAAGCCTAACTAGCTTACGGAGTTGTTTTATGCTCAAAGGTATACTAGCAAACATGTTCTCATTCAGAGCTAGTCTAGTCAATGAGGATAAGGAGCCGATCCAGTGAGGAATTTCAGATATGTTGCAGTCACAAAGGAGGAGTTCTTCGAGACAGCTTAATGTACCAAGGCATTTTGGAATGGTCTTGAGATTTCTGCAGCAGTTCATAGATAGCTTATGAAGCCAAATTATGTTTGCAAATGATGAGGGTAATTCTTGGATTCCTGTTTCCTCTAGACAAAGATACTTCAGATTTTCCATAGGCTCCAAGATTTCTGGGAAGTTTTTCAAGTTTGAGCAACCATCAAGGTGAAGTTCTGTTAGAGCCTCCAACTCACAAAGATTGGATGGTAAACTCTCAAGCCTTGTGCAACCCCACATATGAATGACCCGGACACCACGGAGACACTCAATTGATGTTGTCGGCATTTCTCGTATTGATGTGTAAGATAAATCCAATCTCTCTATATTCCTTGGAAGCTCAGGTAAAATTTCCTGGTTTTCACAGCCACGAAGATCTATATAAAGAAGGTTTTCAAGGGACCTAATTGATGAGGGTAATTCTTTTATTTTGCTCCAGGTTAGCCGCAAAAACTTGATGTTCCCAGATAACTCCGGAAGAATTTTCAAATTAGTGCAATAAGAGAGATCAAGAAATCCAAAGGTGAGCCAATCCGTAGATTTAAGATCGTCAAACACTTGAAAATTTAGTGGTGGAATTTCAACTAAACTTGTACAATGTGAAAGATTGACACTCTGGAGTCTTGATGCGAGAGAGAGATCTGGGATCTTAGCCAGTTGCTCGGAGTAACTGAAATCAATACGCTTTAGGTTTACGAAAGGCTGCAACACAAATAAAATACGTTAAGTAACTTAACATATATTTTTTACACTGCAGATATGTAAACATAAAAACAACAAAAATAACAAGAACCATGTTGATCATTAATGGCTCTAATGGCCCATTTGGTTCATAGATTTTGCTGGGACTTGGTTTTGATTATCAAATGTTGGCATTATTTTGGGATTGATTTGCTGCATTGATTTGATTGGAGATTGATTGGCAGCTAGAAATTCATTATGGAAAGTCTCTGCTATGGAAACTATTTCAAGACCATCAAGTCTGATTGATTTGTTTAAAGTCAAACTTTATGTGTTTTTGGAAAGTTGAATTTAGATGAATATTTGATTTGCAAGAAGAGATTCTGGTCCGCAGCACAGAAACATCCAGGTTCATGCAATATTGTATCATAATCATGGAGCAGTTATTTGGAGATATCTGGAGTTAATTCCGAATTGATTGTGAACCAGATTTTACTGCTCTGTTGCAGTTTCTGTTGTAATAGATTTTGCAACAGACTGTGTCCAGTGGATTGCATTGAAGATTTGAACAGCTGGTTTTTTTTGTCTATTTAATAAAAGTCTCATATAACAATCTGAGTACGTCTTTTGAGCCTCAGAATTTCAGAGAGTCGGACTGTTTTGTGAGTATTTCTTTTTCATGTCTCTTTTAGAGAAGGGATTAAGGTTTTCGGGAGAAAACTGAGTGTTGAAGGAATTTCAACTTTGTATGTAAAGTGGTGTTCACTGAGCAAGTCTATTAGGTTGTTATAGTTCATTGGCGTCATGTCTTGAGAGAGAGTTTAAGTTGTATATGTCGATTTGATTGTAACCTTCAGAATTTAGTGGATTGTTCAAAACGACTGGGCGTGGCCTTGCGGATGTAGGTGGTTACTGAACCGCGATACTAATTCTCTGTGTCATTCTATTTTCATGTTTGTTTATATTTGCTAAAATCGGTACTTTCAGGTTTAAACGAAAAGTTTGTATATAAATTTAAAGTTTTATGAGAGAGAACACTGGGACAAATAGGTTTGAACTACCAAATGGTACCCAAAATAATAACAAACAACGGTATAATAATAGAGCATATATACCTGAACTCCATCCCACAGTTGCGTAAGCTGGCTACGAGGCATTTCAAGTTCAACAAGAGATGCTTGTCTAAATTTTATTGGCAATGTTTTTGATGGGTAGCTCCGCCAGCTGAGATATCTAAGTGAATTAGGAAGATAACGAAGACCTTGATGGAGGTATACTTTGAACTTCTTACCTGGATTCTTGGGATCAGAATTGTGAATTTTGAGCAATCTCAAGTTAGACATCTCTTCAAAAACTGCAGGTTCCAAGCATAGATCTTCATCAATCTTAGACATGTCTAAGAATATTCCTTCAATACTTATAGTATCCTGGCACCATGAAGAAAATTTCTATGATAAGCACTCAAAATAGAAATTAAAAATACCTAAAACCATAGTCTAGTTATATCTAATACTAATTAGATACTATTCTCTTCATCAATCAATTAACGTTTTTCTTTCAGAAATCAAGCCTTCAATTTTATAAGAAATGTATAAAATTATTTGACGACTTACTTTATAATTATTTTCCAAGACATGAACGATATCTTGAGCATTCCATAATCGACTACGCTTGTCAACCACTTTACTAGATTCTTGATTAACAATTTCCCATCCCATCTCTTGTATCAAATCATGCATCCGGAGCTTACAATCTTTCATGGTTATGAGGGACCTTTCAATGAGAACATTAATCCCTATGTGAGACTCACCTCCTAGTATTCCCTCTACGAAATATCTATCCTCCCCTTTCAAAAAACATGCAATATCGAGGAAAATAGACTTCTTTACACGATCTAGACCATCATAACTTATTCTCAACACCCTCTGAATTTCTTCATTAGGAGCTTTTTTCAGTTCGCTCAATGCACTTTTCCATTCTTCTCTGGTCCTAGAATGAAGGTAGGAACCCAAAACTTTAAGAGCCAATGGGTTGCCATTAGCATAATCAAGTACTCTCTCTATTAGATCTGCATATTCTGCTCCAGGTGAATCTCTTTTAAAGGCTTTCAGGTAAAGAAGACTACGTTCTTCCTTAGAATCTAATGCATCAACCTCATAGATCCGATCATCAGCTATTCTCTCAAGCAATTTCTTGTCTCTGCTTGTTACAATGACTCTACTTCTAACACCAAACCGACCTTTTTCTTGTTGGTGAACATCATGAATCTCTCCAACTAAACATTCTAGTTGTTCGATCTCATCGACATTGTCAAGAACAACAAGCACCTTTTTACGACGGAGCTGAACATCTTTGAAGTAACTGTCCATATCTACACTTTTACGCTTCAATAGTTTGCAAAAAAGATCTTCCTTCACACTCTTCAGTCCATGTTTACTCACGTCTTCCTTCACATTTGTGAAAAAGCAACCTTCGAATTCAGAAGAGAATCGCTTGTACAAGGCTTCAGCTAGAGTTGTTTTTCCTATGCCACCCATGCCCCAAATGCCGATGATGCGAACATCTGGGACTGGGGAGTTGATACATAGCAAAGATTCCATCTTCTCAAGACGTCTACTTATTCCAAATAAACCTTGAAAATCATCAGCAGCATTGCTTGATGGGAAATTGTATAATCTCTCTAGAACATCTTCAACAATATTCTTGACAAATATGGCTTCGGAGCTATCATTAATAAAAAGAAAATAATAGTTAGTGATGTGGGAAAAAAATAGTAATAAAACAAACAAATATGTGTGACAGAGCAATATTGATATTCTTTCACATTTGTAGGCAGATTCATCAAAGTAGCTACTAGATTAGATTGTTTCTATAGCATATATAACATAATGAGGTGATTCAAAAGTCAATAGGCTGATTCACAAATGTAGTTAACAACTCGTGAAATTTTGAGGTTTCCTTTCCTATTGTTTAATTTGCTACTATTTAGCTTCTTTCTCTGTTTTGTTAGAAAATATAGGCTTTTCTTTCACAATATAATATATAGACAAAGCAATATTGATATTCTTTCTCAAAATATAAATAGCTTTTCTATCCTTTGCTTTTTTTTTTATTACCCTTAAAAAATATTTGGGTGTTCCTTTTTTTTTCCTTCTTTTTCCATATATATTCAGATCCTAATTAATATATCATGACCTTTGGTTTGATATCAGGAAGTAAAATTGAGATAAAGCAGCCAACAAAAATCTTTTTATGTTTCGGCTGTGTGTTTTTTATAGTACACATCTTATTGGTTAGGCATGATCATAATATAAGGGAAGAAAAAAAAAAAAATATATATATATATATATACACACTCACACACACACACTTCCACTTACTCATGTTGTTGCAAATGAAAGCCAGATAGATTAGCTGCTTTTTTCAAGGCCTTCCTCCACTCTTCCACTTTGTTTCGGTCATGCTTAAAACGTGTTTCATGTGCAACAAAGGCATCACCATAACTCTCTCTTTGGTGTCTTATATCTGACGGATTGACATGATAAAAGACGGGTAAAACAATCTGCCCTCTTTTCTTCTTGCATTTGAGTATGTGCACCAATTCATCTAAACACCATCTTGAAGAAGCGTAGTCCTTGGAGAAGACGACCAGTGAAAGTTTTGATTGTTGAATTGCTGTCAGGAGCGCAGGTGAAATTCTCTCTCCTCTCTTGAGACTTTCCTCATCTATGTAGGCCTGAATTTCATTCCGGCATAGTGCATCATAAAGATGGCTAATAAAGTTCTTACGCGTTTCCTCACCTCTGAAACTGATGAAGACATCGTACTTGTTGTCTGAATTGGGGACGAGAGACGAAGAAGAGGAAACAACATCGGCCATGGTACTATTACTCTCAGGCCAATTACCTTAATTTTGAGTAAAATGAGTAAAGGCTTTCTTTGTGATAAGTTGGACAGGTGTAATATGAGAGATGAAAGAGATGACGAATATTGACATTGATTAAACAATATTTTGTCGTTAAGCACTTTCTTTATAATATAAAGACAATTTCTTAAGAGGGTAGAAAGATATAAGGAGTTTTTTTTTTTTTTTTTTTTTTTTTTGCTTGGAATATTCTCTTGGTGAGGAAATATCAAGGAAAACCTACCTAACCCATAAAGCAAAGTTTGTTGACAATTTAGCGTCACCACTTGTCGGGATGTATAGGCTTATTCGTTGTACAACTTTTGAGATAATTTTTTTTACTAGATCAGGCCAACCGTGATATATGTATTATTTTTTTAATCTCATTTAATTTTTAATCAGATTAAATATAAATTTAATGATATGTATAGGCTTATTCGTTGTACAACTTTTGAGATAATTTTTTTTACTAGGATCAGGCCAACCGTGATATATGTATTATTTTTTTAATCTCATTTAATTTTTAATCAGATTAAATATAAATTTAATGACTGATAAATAAAAAATTTTGGTGTTCTTAAGAATGAGAAAACACCAGAAAAAATCCTTATATACCAAACACATCAAAGAAGCAGGTCACTTTCTGAGTCGTACCAATGAGGATTGTATCACTGAAAGGTTCAATACATATAGTAATCTCTTGAAAGCAACTGATAGGTTCTCTATACGTATAACATTTTCATGTATAGATTATTTTATTGATTAAGCGTGGTCTCCTGACCAGAAATTGATGTCATTTCCCTGTATCCCCTGTTGTTTGGTCTTTTATGTTTTATAATACACAAGCATTTTGAGGCAATTTAATACCATGTCATCAATGAATGCTATGATGTTTTTGGTAAGACTCAATTTTCATTCCTAGAAGAGCGATAAGAAATGTGAAAAAAACAAAAAAACAAAAAAAAGAATAATGAGGGAACAAACAAGTGCACAAAACTGGAATTAGAGTCAATTCATCATATATTATTATCACAACAAGTCTTCTGACCATACTAGACAACATTTATCAGCAAAATGGGGCTGCACAAAAACAATATATATATATATAT